GCATTATGGAGTTGTATTTGATTTTAATGGATGATTGTATGTTGATGTGTTCTCACCAACTCTATCTTATGGGTGTAGTTAGAGAATGGAAGTGTGTACATTGTTCTTCTCTACCATCATGCACCTCAGTTTATGGTGATTTTGGCTTCTTTCTATCATTGATCAGGTGGTATTGGAACTGGTATTGGCTCTGGCCCAGTGGATGGATCATCAGAGGATGTGGTTGTGGCTGGCCTGTATAGCATAGTTGCCATCTTCTGTTGTGTGAGAAAGAGAAAAATTCTCCCACACACAACAAGAAAACAAAAGAGAATAGGCAAACAAGGAACAAAACAATGAAAAGAGAAAATAATTAAAAGGAAAAAATAAAACAGACAGCAACCAGAAAAAAAGAATATAATAACTATAAAGATAAAAGAGGGACACAGAAATGGAATTATAGAAGAGAAAGATAGAGATGTTGGACTTGGAGAGGAGAAAACTCTTGGGAACTCCTGCAAACCCAGTTGCTCACAAAGGTGGGTGTGGGAGGGATGTGACAGCTGCATTTCTGGCTTTAGATGGAGTCCTATTAGCCTAGGTGTTATCTGTGTTCAAGGCACTCAATCGGGAAGTAGTTCATGGAGGCCCTTGATGGAGTTGGTTTCAGTATCTGTTATGACCACAGGGTATTTGGGGTCAGGGTGACTGGCTTGATGCTGGTCTGGTGACTTTGCAAGTTCTGTAGGCCAAAAGCTGAGCCTGTCTGATACCAGACACCAAAGCAGTGCAATTGGCCCTTGCCTAACACTAGTGTGTCTTTCACTCTTAACTCCTGGAGAGTAGGGAGTGCTGGGGATGGACGAGGGTGGGAGCTGGCCATACCTCTGATCACCAGGTGAACGTGGGGAAAAGAAGTTACACCTTTACTGTCACCCGTGTGACTCTGTTCTGCCAGGCTACCTCCTGTTGCCAAAGCTGCTCACTAAATTTCAAGATGGTCACACCATCTGTTTCCCTCTTTTGCTGGCTCTGCTCAGCTTCTCCTCTCAGCAAATACTCAATCCATTCCTCTAAACTTTATTTTGAAGTTCAGGGTTAGAGGATTTTCCTCTGTGTCTGTTTCATTTGGTCTCCTATCTTTGTTGTAGAGGGAACTTGTAGTGCATCTGCCTAGGCTGCCATATTATTGCAAGTGTAGAAAATCCAATTCTTATTTGTTGTTATTGTTAAGTGCCACTGAGTCGGTTATGACTCATAGTGATCCTGGATATGGTTTCCAAGGAGCAACTGGTAAATTTGAACCACTAACCTTGGGGTTCAAACAGACCTTGTGGTCTAGTGCTTTATCCTACAGTGCCATATCGGGACACCAAGTATTTATGTTAAGATTTGTCCCTGATCTCATATTGTTCACAATCCTATAGAAAAAGACAACGATAACATAATTCATCCAAAAATATAGTATGTGCAATTCTGTAAGAAGATAAAGGAGTCAAGGAAACCATAGTACATAGAATGATGGTTTTCTACTTCTCAGAGTCAGTCAAGAGTATATATTTGTTGTTCTTAAGTGCTGTCACGTTCTGACTCATAGTGACCATGTATAGGGTTTCTAAGAAGCAACTGGTGGGTTTGAGCCACCAACACTGTGTTTAGCAGTCCAGTGTTTTCTAACAGTGCCACATCAGGACTCTAAGTGTATATATACTGTGAGGAAATTTAAATATTTCTTGTATTTACTATTGTTTCTATT